ACCTGGGAGTGGTCAACCACAAAGGCGGAGATGGTCATCCTATAAATTAAACAGTTTTCTTTGTTTAGATCAGTCAACGTGGGGTCCGGACTGCCTCGACTCAAAGGTTTATGGGATGTCAGCTGTTTTTGGAGCATAAAATAAACCTTTTAAAACTTGCAGCAAAGCCTACTCCCTCATCATTTGAAACATGGTTTTTGCATTGGAACAAGGATTCACTCTTTACCTTTTCAGAAAACTAAAACTAGATAATTATAAGTCTAAGTACTGTATTTGGTAAAAAAAATATGCTACAAAACCTGGCTCAAGAGTGGGGCACTGGGAACCCATGCCTCAGTAAGTGACACATAATTCCTTGTTTATAAAGTGACAATTCAGCTGAGGGGTTTATTGTTTTTTGCAATAATTTCTGAGACAATTTATCATCCAGCAAAATTTATTATCATGACAGGCCTATGTATGAGCCTACCTTGAGATCGCATAGCTGATTTTTGACTGATTTGAGGTCGGTTCCGACCATGAATTCTTCTGTAGATCTCAACTCCACTGATTTCAACCACTCAAATAGACCCTGTTATCAAAGAAAAGCCAGAGATTTTCATAGACAATTGTATTTCATGTTTGTATCACTGTTTCATGTAGTTTATCACTTACAGTTAATGAAAGGTTTACAAGTGCAACACAATAAAAGACTATGCATGAGTGTTGAAAACAAGTCCCAATACTGACCTGCATAGTGTCTTGATAATGCAGGGCCATCTGCAGAGAATCCTCCAGCTTCTTGTGACATTCATTCCACAGTTTGCTTAAGTTGTTCCATGTGCAATAAAGCTTTGATACAACATTTAGTTAATACAACATCATGACTGTAAAAAGATTATATTAAAATAAAGGTTTCCTACTTCATCCATGCTTTTTGTGACATCTGGTTTGTCTGTATCCCCACATGTTAACATCAGGTCCATTCCAAAAACTCCAATGATATCAAGATCACCCTGAAAATTGTCTATATCTTCCCTGAGAGACTAAAACATGAATTAATTTAGATATTTATAGTATTTCGACAAAAAAAATGCAAAGTGTTTCCAAGAGATTCCAGACAAACCTGCATAGTTTCAAGACTTTGGCGGATTGTTTCGCAGTCGGTTCGACAAGCATTGAGATCCATCAGTGACTGCTGGGCATCATTGAGAGCAGTCGCCATTTCGCTGACATCACTCCAAAACTTCAAGGCGAGATCCAAGACCTTTAATAGCCAGCTTTCCCTTTCTTGGACCTGCTTATGTGTCTCATCCCACAGCAGGTACAGGCTGGATACTTGAGCCTGAATGGCTGAGAATTCACATATAGCAGGGATTTTATTCAGACTGATCTTTGCAGACTAAATGACCTTGTCATGTAAAGGCCTGAAGGTGCTGGGACAATGTCTGACAAGATTGATCACCTGTGCCAATACAGCCATCCCCTGCTGCTTTGGTGTTTGCTAGCAATTCATCTGCCTGTACTGTAAGGGTGTTAAGCCCCAACTCCAGCTTGGACAGCTCAGCAAGGATTTGCTTATTGTCTTGAAGATGCTCCTGGATCCTTGAGGTGAGACCTTGAAGAGAGGTTGGTGTCTGTATGCGACTACGTAGTCGGTCAACATTCTCTCTGATAAGAGTCATCCTCTCATTTAACTGCAGGACAAAAAAATAGACACAAACCTCTATCTTGTGCAAAAATGCAGTATATTGTATACTATTCATTCAACAAATCTCTTTTTTACCTGTGTAAATCTTGGTAAGGACTCCTCAAGAAGACTGGCAGTCTCTCTGACACAATCTCTGATGGTTTTGTGCTTCTCCTCAGCCTCTATTGCCTTTTGACAGAACTGATCGCCCTGATCTGAGTTTAGTTCTGACAAGCGTTTTGCTATAACACATAAGCGTGTGATCAAAGGCCGGTGTTCCGCTATAGACTCTCTGAGACCCTGAAAAATAAAAGAACAAAGCGTTAGTAACATTTCAGCTGACCTTTTTACAGCAATAAAACCTATATAATTTCTGTGTACAGAAACAGACTGGTTGGGGGGAGAAAAATCATAATTTTAATATGCATACCTGAAAAAGAAAACGATTATAGTACACTGGTGGAAAAGATACACTGTCATTGAATAAATTACATTATTGAACTAACAGACTGGTTCATTTAGCTCAAAGAAAGTGGCGGCAGACTGTGAGGTACTTCTTTGTTGAACAAGACAAAAAAAGAGGGAAAAGCTGGCATCTATCTGAAAGGGTCATTTTACCTGTAAGAGGTCTTGTTGTTCCCGAAATGCTTCATAGCTAATTGTGCTGAGGGAGAGCTGGCCAATGAGTGTCTGAGTTTCTTCCAGCCAAGGTGAAACCTCAGCAAGACCTTCAGAAAACTGGCCAAGAAGTGACAGGGCATGCTCAAGCTGCAGGACTACATGGGCATTGGTGGCTGAGGTTGTGTTGCATTGTTCCTGTAAGGCCTCTACTGGAGTCTGGATAGAAATGTGACCATATGAATTACCATTAGATCTTTTCACTATCAAAAGAAAAAAGAATGTCATATAATAAAGTTATAAATTCACCTGAAGATCTCCAGGTTCTCCTTCATCACTATAAGTTAATAGAATTTCAGCAATCTTCACCATTTTATCGATGTTGAACTTGTGTTGAAGAATCTCTACAGCTAAAATCTACAAGAAGTAGAATCAAATTAATTTAACAATCCAATCCAGTTTTTTTAATAATCTACAAGTTTCTATTTATCTAGATATGAGTAAGTATATTTAACACATTTGATTAGTAGTTTATAGCTACATAATATTCTGACCTTCTGTTCATAGAGTTGTTCAGCTATGATCTCTGGATCCAGATTAATGGTTTTCAACTTCTCCAGACTGAGTGCTGTGTCTCTGAACCAAGCCATCTCCTTTACCACAGCCTGCTCCAGCTGATGACACACATAGATGTTAGCATGTATGAAGGTAATTTAGTTTTTTTATTCAATCAAACAAAAAAGTAGTTTCAATCAGAAAACAATTTCTATCAAAAAAAATTTTTCAATCAAAAAAAAACAAAACAATTTCAACCAAACAAAAAAAACAACTTCAATCAAAAAGTTTTTTTTTTTTTTTACGAAATAAACTTTTTTATTTTTTGGCATGTCAGAAATCTTTTGTTGAAACTCAAACTTTTGGTTGATGCTCTACGTTTTTGGTTGAGGCTCTAAAAAAGTTTTGAACTCAGAACATGAACATCTGGGGCGGGGCCTAAGGAGGACCTATAGAAGACATGAACCTACTGGTTAGTGCTGACTGAAGCATTTTCCTGGTGCATAATGTACATGCTTCGATTGCTGTCAATACATTATTAGTGGTTATCAGACCCATACAATGTGTCCATGTAAAGCCGCATTATGTAATAACACAGCAATACGTAATAATGCAAAAAAAATCGGGCTTCAAAATGTAATAACCCACATTACGTAATAATTGACGCAAAAGTAATCGTTTTCAACACATTTTGTAATACTCGCAGCTGCATTATATAATAACATTATTCATTTTGTGGCAAACATGATTCCTTGAGTTTCATTTCACATGAATTATTGCCAGCTAGTAAGTGTCAAATTGAACTTGCGCTTTAAAATTAGCTTCCGTCAGTTTTTCTAAGGGATAAGCACTTTTGAAGTTGCGGACCTAAATATTTTCATAAGCGCTTTAGAAATTGCGGAGCTAATTGGGGCTTGCCATGCAATGGCAAATCCATTATTCTACACCTAGTCTTTCTTTATTTCTTTATTCTTCATCCACCACTTTTAATGCAGCCCGAACCTTAGGTCATCCCCCCATGAAAGTTACATCAAAAATGATAAGCACAGTCTCGAGATGTGTGCTATACTTTTCTTTGTACTCACTGTTACCGTGGTGACGTAATTCGAAGAAAAAAAAAACACCGTCAAAATTGCCATAAAACATCAATGTTCAATAACTTCCACATACAAGGTCACAGCTACATGATCACTTCTGTTTGTCATACAGGCACTCATCGCACTCATGTGGTCATTTGGTGACATCACCTTAGCCCCACTCCCTCAAAATAGGAGGTGACTTATTTACTTGCTGGATTTTTATCTTTTACACTGTGACTCCTACAGATTTCTACCTGTGTCTGGTGACACAACTTGATGTTGCATGCTTATCCCAGCACTGACTGCTGGCTGAATTTTGTGGGTGTGACCAAGTGGCAAATGATGATGCCTCGCCGAAGCAGTAAAATTTAAAAGTTATTTAAAATTAAAGTTAGAAAACATTTAACTTAAAAAAACTACCAGTAACAGTTACAATAATTATGCTACTGATCGCAAACATATTCAGATTGTTCCTTTTACACAGAAACCAAACTTTTGAATTCATTCTAAAAAGTTTAAGAAGGATGCAGGGTGTTTCTTCATTGAATCTAGTGGCTTTTGTAAAATTTTACCCTCTGTTTCTCTGCTTCACAAAGTAGTGCATCTCCTGAATGTGTGTGCACTCCTGCAGCTCCCAGGAGCTCCCTCTCGATGCGGCCCAGCCACAAGTGGAGGTCCTCCTGGCTGGAAGTGCAACGGCTGGAGGCTTCAATAGCCTGCTCCAGCCTCTGCAGAACATCCAGGCTGCTCAGACTTAGCACAGGGCAACGAACATGCAGTGCATCCATCTTCTCCTGTACTTGCTGGGCCTCTTCCACTAAAATTACATCACATTTCACAACTTAGAACTAATAGTACATTAATTTACTAATAACAGGGGCTAAAACAGGAAATTAGTAAGTTTTAGAGAATGGACAGTTATAATTTGTTCTCAGAACCTTAGTCTGATATTTGTTAGGAATCAGTAATCTAGATCTGGTGTTCTCAATTTTTCCATGTCAAGTCCCCTCAAACAGCATTAGCTCCTGCTTATGTACCCATAAACAAAGCTCCAAAATATGTTAAGAAACATCCACTTTTAGACTGTTTTTCACTTTTATTCACTATTCAATAACTATTAGTGAATCTGTTTGACAAGAGTTTTAACTTGCTTTAAACTAGTACTTATTTTAACTTGACCAGCTCCTCTTTCACTAATACTTTAAATGCCTTTAAATTCAAATGAGGTGCTTGGTGCCCTGTTCCCTTCAGGTTTCAGACCAGTTCATGCTTGGTAGAGGGGGCAATGTCTATATAGCAGTGAAGAATCATTCTATTTAAAATTTAATCAAAATACGTGAACAACAGAAAACTTGTCCATCAGCCTTACATGATGGAGCTAGAGTCTGCCCCAGAGCCAGAGGAGAATTAAGAAGAGGAAATTGCAGTTGGTAAATCCAAACATTTATCTGTCGCAAATATTTTGATGGAATAATTCAGAAAATATCATAAGAAATAGAGAAAACTTAATGAATGGAAAAATGTGATCCAGACAGACTATAAAGGTATCTATGAAGCACAGGGAGAGACTGAATTTTAATAATCTGCCTCCTAGAGACTTAAAGTACACAACAAAATGCATTTAATGGCTAAAATAGTGGCTTTTGCATATGAAAACTCAAAGTCATGATGATGAATTTAGATTACACTATAGAGCAAACTTTACCTGAAACGACTTCCATCAAATTGTGACCTGACTTCTGTATTTTTACTAATTCAGCAGTTTGGACTTGAATCTCATCAAGAACAGCCTAAAAGAAAAAAAGAAAAAAAAGAAGTTAAATTAAATTTCAATGAGTTTTTTTCCTCTCTTGTTACTCCTGTCATTATTTCATTTCCCCATGTTGTGTACACTGTATTGATA